GAAATAAATCTTAACGTATTTGTTTAATTAAAATATTTGTAAATGCCTCCATCATGCTGACTCTGAACAGTGTAGAATAAAGCAACAAGAATGCATTGGAAAACTAAGTGCAATGTAATATGTATTACTCAAATGCCATGAACAGTCCATTTTTTTCTGCCAATGAAACATCACCCACTAAAAGGGTGGAAGATATATACATGTAATATTTATAAAAAAAACCTAGTTTATAACAAACCAGAAAGATAGACTATCTTTAAGGTCACTGTGGTTTAGAAAACAGTATTATTAGTTAATCATACAATACAAATTAGTTTGTATTTTTTTATTTGGGAGGTCATTTAAGGCAAATAATATAGTGCTACTTTTTACAGGGTAGTATATATAGATAGTCCTCAGCATTTGCTGTAGGTAGAACAAGGCAATTGATTCTAGAGACAAGAATGCCCTGCAGCTACAGGGTCTATATTGCCTTTGTAATGTATCAAGCAGACTCATTCTTCCAAAGGGATACATACTTAGGTCAAAATGGTCATAAGTTACTTTTTTCAGTTGCATTGTAACTTTGAACGGTCACTAAAGATTATCTGTACTAGATAGATAGATAGATAGATAGATAGATAGATAGATAGATAGATAGATAGATAGATGGATGGATGGATGGATGGATGGATGGATGGATGGATGGATGGATGGATGGATGGATGAGTGGCCCTTGGTGCTCTCTGAGCTTGCTTGTTTTCTTGCATTCATTACCCTAACTAGGTAACAGCATCAGTGCTAACTGATGATGTTACCTAGTTAGGGTAATAAAACATCTGCAAGAAAACAAGCAAGCTCAGAGAGCACCAAGGATCCCTCATTCAAACCCCGAGTTACAAATATTCTCCTTTATTGGTAGATAGAGTGAGTGAGTGCCCCTATCACTGTGGTTTTTAAATCTAGATGTATAGCTTATCAGGCTGTAACTAGCCAATTATACTGTAACAGTTTTAACATTTTAATAAACCATGGGAGCCTGGTTATTGTGTAAAATGAAATCATCTAACTCAGTATCTTGCTTACAGAGGAGAGTCAGACTCAATTAGATATCTTTAGATGTTATATGGCTGGTGATGATCAGACTTCTCCAAAATGTAAATGTTTGGTGCTGTATCTCACTGAACTACTAAAATTTCTGTAGCTATACTGTAATTACAATCAGCTTATATAAAAGGATACCAAGTGGAGAGAGCTGAACATTTGCTTCACTAGGGAAGAAAGGAAATTTATGATCCACCTGCAGCACAATTAATTTATGTTTGCTCAGAAGCAAATCATATTGTGTTAAATGGAACGTTCTCACAAGCAATTGCATGAAATAGTGTTAGTAACTAATGAGATTAAAAGCTCCTTGATACCCTTTCTAGACTGACAAGAATGAAAGCAAGATTCTATTGTTTGAACAGATCTTTATCTTCTCCTTTTTAATATTGGATTATAGTATGGACTTCATACTTAATATGTTCTCACAAGCTGTTTCTAACACAGTTTTAAATGTGTGCCTAATCTTATTAGCACTACTTGAATTTTAAATAGATAGCTAACACTATGATTTTGTAGTCACATGAAGTAACATACACACTATGCATTTAACAGATTGAATGGCTGGATGCTGCTTCTCAAGGCCTAATCTACACATTATCACTGGATGACTCAAAATGGTGTTTCACAGATAAATGTCTGCACTTAAGACTGTTTCTTTGCACATAAGAGACAGACAAAATATGCTCTGTTGGAGATGTTTGATTTAGAATGATTGCTCCAGGCTTGCAATTCACAACCTGGAATGTGTCCACACCTGTTTTTATACAGTTCCTGTGCATTCATTCTTCCCCTTGCAGGAGTCCCTTTTTAAAGAAATGCAAAAGATGTTGCAGCATCTTGAACTAGTCACAACTCCTTGGTTCCTCTCCTCTTTTGTATAAAGCTAAGAGCTTTGTTGATGTAAGACAGACACATCAAACTTGTGACGTCACGTGATGTCGCGTGACATGGCGGAGCTTTTTTCCCATTGCTGGCAATGGGGTGGGCGCGGTTTCCTGGGGCCGGCAGTTTGACACACATGATGTAAAACATAGAACCATTGTATATTTTAGTTAATGAACTGAGCTCCAGTAAACCAAATGTACAATGTGTGAATCAATTCATTATGTAATAGAAATTAATCTCTTCCTTGTGCATAACAGTAGAATCCATGAATAGTTTTATTTAAAACATTTGCTAAAATGTTTTCATGGCTGACCCGTAACTTAGAAGTGGCCATATACTCTGGAAATACAATCTTCAAGTTACATTTGATTCCTGATGACCACATGGCTACATCCATATAGAATAGAATAGAATAGAATAGAATAGAATAGAATAGAATAGAATAGAATAGAATAGAATAGAATAGTTGAAAGGGACCTTGGAAGTCCTCTAGTCCAACCCCCTGCTCAGGCAGGAAACCCTATATCATTTCAGACAAATGGTTGTCCAGTCTCTTGGTGTAGGAGCACTCACAACTTCTGGAGACAAGTTGTTCCACTGATTAATTTCTAACTGTCAGGAAATTTCTTCCTAGTTCTACGTTGCTTCTCTCCTTGATTATTTTCCATCCATTGCTTCTTGTCCTGCCCTCAGGTGCTTTGTAGAATAACTTGACTTTCTCTTCTTCATGGCAACACTGCTATCATGTCACCCCTAGTCCTTCTCGTCATTAAACTAGATATATCCAATTCCAGCAACCGGTCTTTATATGTTTTAGCCTCCAGTCCCCTGATCATCTTTGTTGCTCTTCTCTGCACTTTTTCTAGTCCCAACATCTTTTTTACATCGTGGTGACCAAAACTGGATGCAGTATTTCAAGTGTGGCCTTACCAATGCCACACTTGTGGTATTAACACTTCATATGATCTTGATTCTATCCCTCTGTTAATGCAGCCTAGAACTGGGTTGGCCTTTTTGGCAGCTGCAGCACTAGGACTCCAAGATCCCTCTCCCAGTTACTACTATTGGTGCTATACCTGTGCATTTGGTTTTTCTTGCCTAAATGTAGAATGTAGTTTGCTTTACAACAAATCAGAATTGGTTTGCTATTTGCTCTATTCTAGAATTTCCCCAATTACTTAATTAACTGCACACCTTGGGATTTTCTAATGGGTTCCCATCTCCATAATAACCAGTTCCAGTTGAGATTTTTCAAGGTTAGTTGTATGTTGCCATCTGCTAAGAGGCAGTTATTATTTGCATGTTGCAGTTTTCTGTTGTCTCCAGCGATATCTCTTGATGAGAGTGGCACTGTCTGTACAGGAACAATTGGGGGGATTCAGAAGTACTGTTTGATGGACAGATGGGAATCAGGAAACTTTTTTTTTTCAGTTCAAGTGGTTGAGCCTTGGAATATGATATCACAACATTGGCTTATGCTCTCATCATATTTGCTTGGACTACTGTAATGAACTCTAAAGAAGGTTCTTCTTGAAGATTACCCAGCAGCTACAATTGGTGTTACACATCTATATGAATATAGGATACCAATGTTCTGAGCTCTTGAGTAACTTCCTATTGGCTTCCAAGTACCATTCAAATGGCAGGTTTTTTAAAAAAACTCTTAAAGTCTTATTATGCTTTCTCCTCTCATTTTTAACTCAGCAGATATGTAATCATTTTTGTGATGTGAGAAGTCTAGCAGGTGCAGTCTTTCTGGTGCAGAGTCTATCTCATGGGTTACCTTTCTTCCTGATATTCAGTCAGCTTCCACTTTATTAGGCTTTAGAATCGAAAGCAAAGTTGTTTGGGAGCGCTTTTGAATTACGAGAACTGGGACTTCTGGGTCCATTTTTGTAATTTTTTAAATTCAACTGTGTTTTATCATACTGTTGTTTAAAATGTTATTTTGATTGCTTGTTCTTTAATACTTATTGTCGGTAATGTGGGCATTGTAGGGTCATTTGATGCGGTATATTTTTAACCGCAACTATGGGTAGAAACTGAGGAAATAAAAATAAGGTTCATTATGCCAAAAATGCAGTAAATGGGAAAGCTGGAATGCCTTAATTCGCACAAAGGACAGCAGCAGTTCTTCATTCTGATCTTTCTTGGAGTTCACCCCGACCCTTTTTTGTGGCTTGGATTTATGGCAAAGGATTATTAAGCGGCTCCGTCCCTTCAGCACCCGACGCCGATCGGTGAGTCTTAGGGGTAGGAATGTGGAGACGGACATTCTCTCGGATTCGAGCCAGGGCTGCCGCGACGCTTCCAGGGGCTCACCTTGCCGGCGGCCTCCCGCCTTAGCGCGTCTTTACCCTGCCTTCTCCTCGTCTACCGGCAGAGGTCAACCCTGCTTCTCCGGGACCGAGCTGGCTCCGAAGCGGAGCGGCGGGAGCTCTTGACATCACATCCAGACTCCTCCTGCGCACGACCCCTTCCAACTCTTCAACTCCCCCCTTTTCTCTCCCCCAAACAAAACATTTCCGCTGGCGAGAGTCGGCCGTAAACCTAGCCGGGCAGGGCTGGGGAGGAATGGGAGAGGTCAAGAGCAGAAGTCGACTCGTCGACGCCGCCGGAGCAGCGCGCCGAACAGCCCGTCTCTCCGGGGCTTTTCCTTTTCTTTCCAAAAGCCCCGCCGGGACCGAAAAGGCGCCCTTTTGGCCAAGCGCGCCAGCCGAAACCTCCCGTCTTCCTTGAGCAGCCGGCGGCTGCAGAGGCGAGAGGCGAGGCAGGCGGGAGGGCTCGGGCGGGCCACGAATCGGGAGGTGGGGGGGGCGCGCGCGCCTCCTCTCCGAGTCCCTTTAAGAGGCGAAGGCGCCGCCGAGGCGAAATGCCAGCCTTCGGGTTGCAAAGGTGAGGCGCTCGCCCACCTTTCTCGGCTTCGCGCGGACCGGCGGGTCCCCCCCCCCCACGCGCCTCCCTCCCCCCCCCCGCGCGCGCTCGCGCTCGCGCTCGCCCCCATGCAGACTCGCGCCCGGGGGGGCGAGCAGGAGCCGCCGAAGATGGCAATGTCTGTGATACAAGCGTGCCGCAGTCTGGCTCTTTCAACATGGCTGCTTTCCTTTTGTTTCGTGCATCTGCTCTGCCTGGATTTCACCGTGGCCGAAAAAGAAGAATGGTACACCGCCTTCGTGAACATCACTTATCCGGATCCCGGCGGCGGCGGCGGCGGCGGTGGCGGTGGCGGCAGCGAGCTACGTAGCGAAAAAACGGAGTGTGGCCGCTACGGGGAACACTCGCCCAAAAACGAGGTCTGGGGACAGGTGGTGATGACCTCGGCGACCGCTGACAGACAAGCTTGCGACCCCAATGCTAGGTTCGCCGTGCCCGGGTCCGGCAAGCTCTGGGTCGCCCTTGTTCCTAAAGGGAATTGTACTTACAAGGACAAGATTCGGCATGCCGCCTCCCAAAACGCCTCGGCCGTGGTCATCTACAACGTTGGCGCCAGCAACGCCAACGAGACGATTACGATGCCCCACGCAGGTGAGTGGGAGGCACAATCTTCCCCCCCCCACACACACACACGTTCGTCTGCACGTCTCTGTTGGAGGATTTCATTTCTGGACTCGGCTCCCCCCCCCGCCCCAGCCTTGGTTAGGCTACTAAATATCCAAGAAGGTTATTAATAGCCCAGGCTTAGCCCGAGGTTTGGCCTGTCTTATTACCAGGCAAGATTTAGTGACCTCTTTCCTGTCTTGTGTGTTATCTTCAAACGTGGAGCAGTAAAAGTGAGAGAAATTGACCAGGGTAGGTGTTGTGTTGCATGGCGGGGCTTTTGGATTGAATGCAAGGAGGCTTTTTGATGGATAAAAACTGGGAAGACATCAAGGGGGAGGGCAAGGTCAGTGGTTGCACAATAGGCAAGATGCTAACACATAGCTAACCCAAACTTGGTCAACTGACTTTGCACAATGCAATGAACCATCAAGTTTATTCATAAATATTGGTGGGACAAACTTGGTTTATGGCTCCCTAGCTTGTATAAAACCAGATAATAGATTTTAGTCAGTCACTGCTCATTAAACGTTGGTAGGATGTGAACACAAGCCTTGAAAAATGAGACATCAGAAGCTCACCAGGGGTTGAATTGAACAGGAAGTAGAAACTGCTGCAAGCAGGAGGTTTGATGGAATATTGTGCACTTTATAATGGAGTAGAGGAAACATAATTAAGATAGTGTACCTATTAAAATAATGTTGGAAAAGCTGCAAAATCCTTCACTGTCTTATCCCATTGTTTTTTGACCTCCCCTTCAAATTCAGTGAATTGAGTGTAAGCAATAAGCTGATCACTAGGATTATTGTGCTAAATTGTTTTTTTTTAGGTTGTTCATCTTCTAAGTATTTCCCAGCAACACAGAGTATAAATCTCAGTTGCAGAGACCAATAAGGAGTAGCTGTGTTGGCTGATACTCTGCTTTTTGATGCAACATGGAAAGTTTGAAAGTTTTGGGCCACTTCCTGAATTCATGGGTTTGTGGTTTCTGTGCTGAGTAGCAATAGTGTAAGCAGTTTTAGTGGCTTCTTTGGCTTCTGTTACTGTAGTTGAGAAGCAGCTGTGTTACGCCAGGAAAGCAATTAGATCAATTACTGCTGCAAGATTTTACTTAGGAATTGCAATCTTGTTACAATATCTGTGATTCAGGGACAGAATAATTTATCTAATTTATATTTCCCATCAAATGTCTACATGCATAGTGTAAGCCTTTGTGTTATTTATCATTTATAACACAATATTGAAGTTATGTGATAATGCTGCTGGACATAATCTGGTTTGCTGTATTGTTAGAAAATCTTACAAAATAGTTATAAATTTAAAAATTATGTGTCATAAAATGTCCATGCTATGTATTTACCTAAATACTGTTATTTGGACAAACTGGAGCTTCAGCATATACCCAGATAATAACACCTGTGACTGCTTCTTCAGGGACACTATCCTAGTGAGCCAAGGACATTTTGCTTTTTTATAATTTCAAGAATAACTTTCTGTTCACAGTTGTATGTCATTTTAAGACATTTCTGTATCCAATTTTCTCGCCAAAGCCTACTGTTTCATGTTTGTTTGCAAAGTAAGAGTAAATATGAAGTTTCTTCAGTGATGAAATAAAAAAGGTGCTTAATAAAGCAACCTTCCACAGTGTTGCAGTTATTCAAATTGAAGAAGTCTGTTAGACAAAATTAGAATTTTTTTTTGTTTTAAAACAGAAGCATTACACATATAGATCTCATTGGATTTATTTCCGGCTAAGTGACTTCGAAGGCAGGTAATAAAGTTTCCTGCATTACAAGAATTATTGTACAGGCAACATGAAGGTATTTTGTTGATTCAGTCTCCTGTTTTCCTTAGAAACTCAAACTGTGTTTTAGATAAGGAACTTGGGAAGCACAGCATTTTGTTTTAAACAAAACATGTTGCTTTTATGTTTTCTAGGCATAATTGAAACTTCCTTTATAATAGCAATATATTTTTATATTACTAATTTCAATAACTCTAATATAATAAATGACAGAATGCTACATCACTCCTTTATGTTTATCTCTACCATTTCCGTGTTGATTGCTTTAACAAGGAATGTGATAGATTTTTAGACACTAAAACCTGGTTCAGTTAATTGATTTTAGATTGTAAATAGAATACTTTAACTAACAGATACTTAAATAGGAAACCATGTGTGTGAGACTATTTAACAAAAATACAGGTTTAAAAGCATATTTTTCCATATAATTTCATATAGCTTGTGTTGTAAGAAATATTTCATGATTTCTCTTAATAATAAGCATCCTCATGAACTGCCATTCAGAGTTTCCAGCTTTTTGGATGCTTATTTTTAAGTACTAAAGTTAATCTGTCTTAATTTTATGGACATATGCAAATATATTTAGAAGTTCTCTGCTTAAAAGAAAGGATAATTATTTCAGTGACCTCACTATAATCCTGTAAAACAGATATTACATTCATATTGTATATTTTGCAAGAGCAGCCATGTCAGTATTATTAGTTAGAATCTAAAAAAGCACAACTAGAATTCTGCAAGTTTAAATCCTATATTCCGCAACTCTTCCCAGTCTGTCCCTGAAAGGCTTTCACAGAATTCAGTCCAGTCTGAAGAGCTGCAGTAGTTAGAAAGGAGTTTGAAGTTGTAAACATCTCGAGCAGAAATTCTCACAAGTATCCCAGCATTACTCTTGAACAGACAAAAAATGATCTTCACAGACTTATGAATTTATCATGGCTAAAAGAAGGCTTTATGTCATTGGTAGGATCAGTCACCCATACAACAATTGCACAAGCTGGGAAAACTACATTAATCTATGAAAATTCAAATACATTATAGAAGTGTTATTCCTTTGAGGAAAAATCCTATTAGTTACATAATACTGTTTAAAGAATAAGACAAAAGGTCTATCCTGGACAATTAAAGATGTTTCAACAGAATATCAGTGTGCTTGTTATGTGCAAGATGCTTAACCTGCATGTGGATATAATGGAGAAAACTAGATAAGTATCAGGCTTGAGATACTTAAACTTATCTTGTGATGCTGCAGTCCTAGTGAAATTTGCTGCCTTAAATGCTGCTGCCTGTAAGAGGAAAGCTGCCACTGATATCAAAGTGCATTCCTAGAAGAATGAGAGTGGGGGAGGCAAAGACTCAGTTGCCCTTCCTTGCTAAGCCATGCTATAGATCAGGGGTATCAAAGTCCGGAAGCCGCACCCATCCCATTGCCGGCAATGGCAAAACCGTCCCGATATGTTGCGTGACGTTATGTGACGTCGCGAGTTTGACATGTCTGCTATAGATTGTTAGTGATGTCTGATTTTAGGCATTGTGATTTAGCTTATGGCTAAATTTCCTGTATGAGTCAGGCAATTATGGTTTATACAACAAAGTATGAATAATACAAAAGCTAAATGTAGTAATAAAGCCACATTTTGAAGTTCCTTGTCAGTTTCATCTTGGCTGTAAATTTTAGTCTTGAAGCAAAGCCGATTGTCATTATGTCTATTTTACTGCATTCATGTTGTAACTCCTGCCTTTTTAAAATAGAGCTTATATCAATGTCATTTGAACTGATTTCAAAAAACACAGATAGCATTTTGCATCATTCCTAGTATTGTCTGTTTTTGGCATTTCTGATTATAACAATTCTCATAGCTACTAGCGCTGACATAATATGTTGCAGACTTATTCTCATATGGAAAGCATTACAGTGGAATGTTCTTCCACATTTTCCCCATTTCTACCAATGACTCCCTAGATAAAAACAATAATGCTGTCTCTGAAAATGTCTAGTTGTGTTGTGCAGCATATTTGTGTATGGGAAAAGTAAACCTTATATTCACGGGGTTGAATACTCTTGTCCAGACAGTTAACTTTGAATAGTAAAACAGGCAAATACATAATGCCAAATAAAATAACCTTAAGCCTTTCACATGGATAATGCCATATTTGTGTATCTTTTTACAGATCACTTCTTATATAGCTCTAAAGTTAGTTGTTAGCTGTTAAAACTTGAGAACCAGCTGGTTTGTTAGCTTCAGTGAACCTGGAAGTCATGCTGCCAGAAGCTTCCAGTAATGTTATTTTTTCTGGCGAGAGAGAGAGAGATGAAGCTAAAATAATTCACAGTAAAAGTGCAAAATGTTTTTTAAGAAAATCAGAAATCACAGGGCAATTTACATCTATCATAAGAATATTTGAATAATCATGGAAGAAATCAAAGAGAAGCAAATGGAATTGAAAGAAGAAGGAAAGCCTTTACAAATGAGGTGAAAAGAATAACAAACATTTGCAGAGAAAGAGTATATTTAGGAACTGGCTGCACTTAAAAGTGAGATATTGTAAATAATAGACCAACTGTCAAATAGAATAGCACCTAGTACAACTGAAATGCCCAAAGAACTGATTAAGGCTGCAGGAGAAATGCAGATCTGAGTCAGCAATATGGTGTAAAGCTGTATGGTCCAGAGATTGGAAATGATTAGGGAGTAGAGTTAAATGAAAGAAGGCTGATATTAGAGATTGTAACTGACTAAACTATTCTACTAATTTCTCATGCAAGCAAGCTTTTCAGTAAGATAAAGTTCAGCCATTCATGGGAGGAAACATTTCAAATGTACAGTCTGGTTATGAAAAGTAGAGGGGTGTGATCAGATAGTTAATGTAAGGTGGAAGAAATGAAGAAAACAAAACAAAAACATTTTGTACCTTTATCTTTTATTGAAAATAAAAGCTTTTGATTGTATAGATCAGGGGTGTCAAACTGCCGGCCCGTGGGCCGGACGCATCACGTGGAAGCCACGCCCTTCCTAATGCCGGCAATGGCAAAACTGGCCCGATACGTTGCGTGATGTCATGTGACGTCATGAGTTTGACATGCCATAATGTAGCTTATCTATTACACTGATATAATGCCAAAACATACCTGTAGTTTTCCAGAGAATCTTTACAATGAAGAATTCCTTTATGAGTTAAAACTGGA